GTATTAAACCAGACAGCACCACTGTCTTAATTAATGTAGTTAAAGAAAAAGTTCAATTTTTGTAAAAACCTTTCTATATATTAGCTTTACCACAATGGAACGCTCCTATAAGCCAACTATAAATCCAATGGCAATTGTACCTTCTTACAATTCATCACTTCTTGCAACATAGTGGCTCCTCCATTATTCTCTCATAATCCAGCAGTAATTTCTGCTAGGCTTGGCAGAATTCTTTAATTACTTGTCAGCAAAGGACATTGTTTCTGTTTGTCTTTACAAATCTGGCATATAAATTGCCTTTGTGGGGAAAACCCGAATATTAGATTTTTCCAGCAATTAAACATTTTTCCTCCCTAACTTTGAAATAATTACACTTTTCCCCGACTTCACCGGGACACCAAAAACTGAACCCTGAGAGAGCCAGCACACAGCAATTTAATTCCTGTCAAAGCAGCGTTTATTAAAAGCTTCTCACCAGCACACTGGACAAGAGATCAAGAGTTATATATTGTGCAAGTCAGCAATTTTAAAGAGGAAGTGTTTTTGGGATGCATGGACATGCAATAGTAGGCAGAGCTCTGACCTGGACCTGGATTTTAAGTTTTGACAGTTTAGTAGAAGACATGTTGCACAGTAAGTGCTTGTTTGTCTTGTTTCCTGTGTCCCAATATGTAAGAGTATTATTCTGGAATCTTTTCAAGTCAATGTTACACTCCTGAGAATCCCACACCTACCACTAGAAGACAGTGTGATGTGATAAGTGAACCTCGTGTCTGGGAGATGAAATATCCCAATTGGTGGTAGTTGGCAATCTTAGCTAACAATTCACTTCAACATGTCATGTTGAGCCTGCCTCCTAGCAAGGACTGTTCATGAGAACATGCTGGAAGTGTTTCGTCCTTCCAAGCCACCACAGACTAACTCTGCAGGCATCCAGGGTGGCCAGATGGTGATCATTCAAACAGCATTTCATTCCTCTGAGCTCCGTTTTGTTGCCCAATTTGCTGAGTAGCTTCCTTAACAGACAAGAGGGGACGCGCTGAGCTTGGGACCATCTTGGCTCAAGAGTAAGTTGCCAAAGGGAGGTGAAAATAAATGACACCAGGACGTGTGTGGACATGACTTAATATATTTATTTCTTTTCAGATGCCATTTTTGAGCTAAATGCACTTACTGGTAACCACAAAAAAACACTTAAATATATTTAATTACTAAGGTTTTAAAATACATTTTTTATTGTAGTTTGTTAACCTCTAGGCAGTGAAAGAAGATACTGGATGGTAGAAGGTGGAGATTTAATTTAAGCTAATGGCGTTTTATAAGTAACAACACAGCAGAACATTGCTCTGGTAAAATATGAGCCTTTCTAAAACTGTGAGTCCTCCTATGTCACAGCACAAAATGAGGAGGGATCACCCCGGATGTATGTAAACTGAGTGTTTTTTGGGGATTTGGGGATTTTTCAGGAAAATAGCACTGGAAAGTCTGAGAGGAATATACATAACACACAGAGGAGACCCATTTATCACACAGTGTTACAACGGGAGTGTGTAATGATCCACACCAAAACAAATAAACAAGGTGAGTCAATCTTCATTACCGAGAATAAAAACAAGAAAACAAGACATCCCTCCAGCAACCAGGGGCACAACAGGAGATTTTTAAGCACGAAAGGGAAACTGGAGGATAACTGGAATATCAGAAAGGCTGGGCTCTTGGGTTAGAGTAAGATTTCCCCCTGGGTGATGGAAAAGAATCAGGGTATCCAGGATGAAGGAGAATGTCCCTTGCTTGATCAGGCCTTGCAACAAGTGAAGACGTTCCAGGTTTTAAGGTATTCTCCGAGTCATCATTAACAAATACAGTGTATGACAAGAAACTGGTGGTAAACTTTATTTATTCCATATTTCTGGATCAATAAACTAAGTCAGAAGTTCTGCATATTCTGTATGTGCACAATTGTCAGCAATATATAAATGTAGTTTATCCCCAAGGTGAAATTACTGGATGGTATTAATCATTCCTCTTTAATTGAATTTCCATCAATTCCAAAAAAATAAAAAATACATTAAATACATTCCTATAAATTATTGGTCTATTTAATATATGTTTAAGTCATTGAAAATTATACATAAGGCGGATAACAGTTAATATAACTGTGAACCAGAGAGTAAATTAAATGGAAAAACACAGTTCAGCCCTCTGTATCTCACCTATCAAGCAGCAGTGCATTATGAGAGTCCTGACAGTGCACTGCAGTGCGAAACTCACAGAGAGTCAGTACAGCATGGAGCCTATCTCTCTCCAAGACCATCATCATCATAATAATACTTTGTCTACAGCCAAGGCAATATATGTGTACCTGTAAAATCAAAGCTGATAATGAAAGGTGAGAGACAGCAGTGGCATCAGAGGCTGCAGTCAGGTATGGAAAGCTGCTTGCTCTTGAACATGAGTTTCCACAGATTTGTTATGTGTTTAATGTCCTTTGTTATTAAACATGCCTTTTTATATGGCTTATTATTCAGATAATTATTTATTTTCTTTGTTGGAAAAACTGAAACCAAAGTACACAAACAATTGATGTACTGTGTAGTCGCTGTTGTTATCTAAGGTGTCTTGGTACAAACAAAGCCCACTCTGTACACTCAAAATAGGAATCAAATGGCTGGGTAGCAGTGTTGTGTGTATGTGGCCTGGACATGTAGTGAAAGGGAAACGTGTGCTTGTTCTTAATAATGGAAAAATGAAGATAATTCTATTGTTGTTTCCCATCACAAGTCTTCAAGCTGGAGAGTAGGAAGTCATAGCAACTCATCAGACTGTACTGTATCACCCTCTGGGCAAGAAAGGGTAAGAGATGAGGTCATCTTAAAACCACAGTAAATGAGATTTCACTCTTGTCTATACAGAACTGTCTGTTTGTTTTTGAGTATAGTTATCAAAGGTTGGCCATGCTATCAATGGCAACATCTTACTTTTTAACTGTTAATGGGTTTCTTGGAATAGTATCCCTTTTGTTCACTTTTATTTGGCAAATGTATCTGGTGCCTAGTGGTGCTAACATAAAAAAAGGATTTTAACAATTCTACACAATAACAAACTCCCATATTAGCCAGTCTGAGATATCTGGAGATCAAGATATCTTAAACCCATGCTATAAGGTCAAACTAGCTAGCTTGGTCCACACCTCCACAACCCTTTGGGTAAGGAACAGTCTCCCGTTCTCAGTTTTAAATGTAGTTCCACATTATGACTTTTAGGAGGAAGGGTTTCAACAATGGGGAATGAAACATATGCAGTGGTCAGGTTTTACACTGTTCTGTTTGCAGACAACAGACCTGTATTCACAAATTCACTCATATAATTACATAAATCATAATTACAAAGGTTTGTCCATACTTGAGTATATTCTAATATTTTTATGAATAACAATTCCTGATTATAGGATGTAGCCCTATACTTGGCTTAACAGTTGTGTGAAAAATGTTTTTTTTTATGAAAGTTGACCTTTAGAAAATTGCTCAGAAATCCCTCCGGTCTCTCTTCAGCACCACAGACAGCTCCCCCATAAACACATAGATATACTAATAGATGGTAGTAATGTTCTTAGCTCATTTGCTTGTCACAGAGCTACAGTAATAAGCACAATACTCCCAGTGTATGCAGAAAAATAATCAGTCTATGAGAAGTGTGTTCAATATCTGAGGTTATTTTCATGTAAAGATATTTCCTGTATTGTTGTCAGGATAAGATGTCTTATTTAACCAAAATCCAAACCAATTAGATGGACTGAAAACCCACCTCATTTTTAATTTTTCATATATTATGTTCTTTAAAATGGACAAACTTGTTCCCTACGCTGCCTGTAAAAGGAAACACTAGAGATGCTTGTTTTAGCAGCAGCCTGTAGTCCACTTTGATCTGTTACTTTCAAGAGCCATTTGCTTTTCCTTTAGAAATGCTCCTTAAGGCATATTTACAAATAACCTAAGGTCTTCAGAAATCTACATAAAGAGCTGTTTTCCTCAATCCCAGTCACTCTGTATATCGTTTTCCCCAACATTTTCTTGCACTTTTTTTTTTACTGTTTTCAATAACAGCTGTAGAAATAGAGATGATGACTAGCATTGCAGTATGTTACATTTCTAGTTGTCTTGAATTACGATTAGTCCAATTAAAATATATGAGAATACATTAAACCAGGCTCTAATTCTTCAGTTCACCAATCCCCTGAATCCATATAAAGAGTGAGAGTCTGGTTTCATGTAATTTACAATTCATCCTGTGTATATTACCTTTTTATCTTTCCAGACTCGTCATTAAAGAAATAAAATGAATAGAATAATTAATATTGAAGTTAATATGGAACAATTATGACACTTCTCTATTCCAAACATTGTTTCCAATTACAGGCCTTCAGTCTGAGCTTTTAAGATGAAGATAGGGAGGACATGACACTCAGGGTAGTGTGGTGAAGAACTGTACCTCACTGAGCGCAAGTACTACACAATTCCTTCCCAAATTCGCACACCCCATCTTCTGACTTCTTTAAAGTTAATTGTGCCCTGCTAGGATTGGATGTCAATTTGCAACCAGTTCCTTTTTGCGATTGGATACTACAGTTCACAGCTCCTCCCATAGTGACATCCCCTCGCTTTCTAGCCTTCTGATTGGTCTCGAAAACGGACGGGGACGCATTTGAAAGTAACCACGCCCCTCCACGGGAAGTGCCGTCTAAACATCAAACGAGATGATTTGGAAAAAGTACTACAGCGGTCCCAGACACTTCAATTGGCCAATTTATGGGAAGAGCTACTTAAGAGAGCTCTCGTATTTCAGGTGGGTAGCTGCGTCAGCATGCGTAGGCTGCAAAGGAACAAGTAAAAGGTTTATTCCATAGTGAAAAAAAGAAGAAAGAAAATATCGTTTCGGCCGTGGAGCTTTCTTCAAGTGTGAGTCTGGTTTCATTAAGAAGGCTCCACACCTGAAACGTTGTGTTTTCTTCTTTTTTTCAGCATGGAATAAACCTATTACTTGATCCTAAAGAGAGCTCTATGCAATCGTGTATCCTCCTCCCCCCCGACTCCACACCCTCACACGTGTCGTGCATCAGCACACCAACGATCGTTTCTGCTCTTTCATTACAAGCGAATAAAGCAAATAAGTGCCACGTTTGCTGCCGTTTTCCAGAGGTAATCTGTTTTGATGCTATGAATAGGACGGTTCTTTCCTCTAGTCCTGTTGAGACTAGAGACTGGAGGCCCGGCCAGCAGGAGGCGGCGAGTCACGGTCTTCCAAATTTGAGATCATCGCGAAAAGTTTCGCTTTTTCTCGTGAAGTCTTTCAAAAGCTACCAAGTGTACGAGTGTTTTTCGGTTCAAAAATGTTTTCTTAAGAGCCAGGTAAGGGGTTTCTTCTCTCCCCGGGAGGATAATACAATTTTCACAGCGAGTTAACACAACACGGCTGGATGCCTACCTTAGCTCGTAACCTGACCGAAATTTCAACCCAGTCCCTGCTGAACCCGAGCTGTCTGCGCCTTTGTGGTCAGCAGAATTAAAGGGCTGTACAAGTGAAGAAAAAACACGGATTCGTGGGTTAAAAAGACAGGGTTTACACGCGAGACCTGTTCAATTCCCTCATAACCGCAAAATAACGACGTCCCATCGAAAGACATAAAAGCTGTTTTTAAACTGCGCTTTTCGGTTTCTCGGATTTTTTTAAGAAGCCATTTAAAGCCAAGACGTGCTCCAGAGAGAACCCTGCTTTAACACAAACACGGGTTTTGGTTATTGCACGTCTGAAAGAACAGGCTGGAATCGAACCGAACAACTGTGCAGCCAAAACAGCTGCACTATACCGGATTTCTCAATTCGTACAACTATGAAAGCTGCTGGTTCTGTTTTAATGCATTGTTTCTCTCTACAGACTCGAAGTCACAGGCGAAAGTACAACACGCCTACTAGCTCCAGTAAAGTAAGTCTATACGTTTTGAAACAAACTACTTTTTCGACTTGTTCCCATCGCAATAAAGAGAAACAACCCAAATGTCTTCGTCCTGAATACCGCAGCCCTGACTGAATTGTTAATCTCGGGTGGGTTTGGGGGAGGGTTGCAAACTCGTTATTTAACGACGCAGAAGCAACCAGACTACCAAACCCGCCAAGGAGGTCATTAGTTCAAATCTAATTCTAGATTAGCCACACCTGGCGTCTAATTTGGAAGTGCCTAACAATTGGAGCTAGCCGTCTCTGCTTTTAAAAACGCGAGCTTTCTAATAACCTGTTTATTCGCATGTCTTTTTTTCCCACCCCTTTTGTTCAGGATTACAGTTTATTTGAAAAACCATTTCTATTTAATTCGGAGCTATTGTACTCACCGTGCTTCCCTTCCAGTGCTCTCCGCTGCAGTACGTTGATACAACCATTTTCATCGCCATTGATTTGCCTAATTTTCAATTAATTATTTGCAGCAAGCCTGCATTGAAGGATTAGAAGGCCTGCAGGTAAACAGATTCCAGGTTTTAAGGTCCCAATTTACTAATATAATTCCTCGAGAAAGGACAGGTTTACACCTTAACAATCACACAGCTACCCATGCATACTCTCCGGTTTCAATTGTATTGTTTTTGTAGACCTCAGCAAAAATGCTTCTTGTATGGACAAATATGGCACAACAAGAGAGTAACTCCTTGCTGAAAAGTAAACATGTTTCAGCTGTGGAGTGCACAGGTGGAGTATACAGTATGTGTAGGGAGCACTGGGCACAATGGCGGGATACACCTTGGACTGGATGCCAGTCCACTGCAGGACACACAGACGCACGCGCACATACTCACACCAGGGCCAATTTGACAGAAGCCAGTTACCCCAGCAGTGTGTTTTTGGACTGTGGGAGGAAACCGGAACACCTGGAGGAAACCCACTTGAACATGGGCAGAACATGCACACTCCACACAGACAACACCTGGAGGAGCCAAAGGTATCCGGTTCCAGAAAAATTAGGCACCTTGAGAAGAGGATTTTGAAGTGACGCTTGAGATTGAAAGCAAGAACAGCTATATCTGTGCTAAAATGCATAACTTCCCACATCCCCACAAGCAGTCAATAAAGATATTTGGCAGCACTACTTTCTTACATTTCCCAGTGTTCATATCTCTATAAAGTCGAGATCAGACATTGATGGTTCCCGCCACTGTTATGCTTTCTGAAGACATCCATTCCTGCACATGTACTGTATTTGGGGTAAACTAGGCTGTCTAGATTGGAAAGGAGATATTTTTTTCGTTATGTCAGGTAAATCTGTATTCTGCAGTTAAAGTTATGTGAGTAGTATTTATTCAGATGTCAGAATTATAAAGTCAGAAACTTAAGAATAATTTTGGCTTCTGCCCACACACCTGAAAATTGCTCCACTGCCGAAACATTTCTATATTTTTCAGTGTGGAATTCATCTCTGCTTGTTCCTTTTTAGCTGCAGACCCTGACACTATTTTTAACTTTGACTGCATTAAAGATTTTGTTCTTCCTGATTTGAACCTTTTAGTAATGAAAGACAACCTAAGTTGCACCCCCTCACCCCCCCCAACCCCAGTAAATATTCCCATTAATAGTAGAAGGTAATAGTAGAATTAAAACTAATTTATAATGTTTATAGCAAATTATTTTGTTTGCAAAGATGAGTTTTGTTTAATTTAACAAAGCAGTTGACTTCCTTCATTTGCTATGTAAATCAACTGGATTGAGCGTTAATATGACACTGTGCTATTAGAAAAAATTCAGGATATATTGTAGATATTGAAAGGTTTTTGGTATCATTTGGATTAATTTGTCATTCATGCCTGACTGTTCCAGAAGTGCTGAATGCCCTTATTACAGTACTTCTACCAAGTTGAATGTCAATCCCAGTGATCTTCTTTGAATAACCCAGAAAGAAATCCATAAGCCCTGGTTCTAAAGGCAATGCCTTCAGTGACTAGTATTTTAGGGGCTGGACAAAATTGGCCAACTGGACCAAATTTATCCAGAGTATTCAAATGCAGATAACAAATGCTTAACAATTTGACAGTTATACGCTGTGATATGGGAGAGCATGAGTCACAACCTTATGCCAAGTGTGTTGGAGAGGTCTAAGGGTTTTTGTTTGGACAGGACAGGAGGCTTTTTTGATGATTGTTGGTAGCTTAACACCACACAGTGCTTTGTTGACCAGCTCCTGAGTCATCATTTGCTACCCTTGTGCTGACGTGATCCTGAGGTGACCGTGATCCAGTGGGCGCTGTGCTCATGCTGATGAGACCACACTCCTTGGGGGTAAAGCGTGCATTATGGATGCTCAGCTTGTATTGTCTACCACTGGCCAAACTAATTGCCTGTGATTTGAACAGCAATGTTGCTGTTACCATACTAAAGAACACTTACTTGATTTGTGTTGCACCTGATCAAATAAGTGGTCATTTTCCCCACCATGTACAGCCACTGACTTCTTACCTTCTGAACTGGCTTTTTGGTGCCTCTGGAAGTGCCTGAAATCCTGGTGGGGGCAAGGGCAGTGGGAGACTGTGGATAAGCAGGGATTGCAAAAATGAAGTCCATATATTGAAGTCTGCAATGAGCCCATCATTGGGAGCTTTTCTTTATGCAACACTTCCACCTGCTGGAAATTGTAAAGATAAACCTTGTCTTGTGTATAATGCTGGGAAATGGGGATATGGCCATAGTTAAAAATATGATGCTAGATTTCATCCCCTCACCCCGTGTTTCCTAAAAGAATTTATTTTTTTTGGTCTTACCTAAGCTGTTATCTGTTTCTTTTCTACTCCATAATTTCACATGTAAATCAGCCATTGCACAAAGACAACCCACATTGTAATTAGCTTTTCCATTGCTGTAGACCACATTTTCTGGCCGTGTCAATTTGATTTTGGTTAGTTGGGTAATGCAACTGCGCTGTTCATGGCACTCTAAACTTTTCTGCTTCTGAACTGATTCAGCCTCGCTCAGCTATTGAAATATTGAAATCTGATGAGATCAGGCTACCAAGTGGTAATTCTGTTCCAGTTGTTACAGGTCTGAGTCCAGACTGAAGAGGTGAGGGATCTGATTTGACGGCATCGACTAGTCAGCTGGAGATGAAGTAGCTGCATTTCCTGTGCAGAAGAGCGGTTTCTATTGAACAGTGAGAAGAAGGATGTGACAGATGGGTAGGTAAGGAGCCAAGCAGCCAATTGGATCATTTTCTATGGTAGCTGGTGATATTTCAGAGGTGTTGGGTTAATACAGTCCCCTTCTGTATTGACTTTATGCTAGTGAATTGGAAGCAGCAGGAGGAATAGTTAATGATTTCGTTAAAATGTGCATATTAATATTCAGTCTTTAAATGGAGTCTGCAAAGTGAGTGTGATGATTCCAGGAATTTGATTTGTATCCCTTGAGCATAAACAAATGGCATTAACATCGTCTGTAGCAGAAGGAACGCAATGTATTTCACTGTAACCATGTCTTGTAATCATAAACAGTCTCTTAGAAGCTGTTTTAAATTGAATTGGTTGTATAATATTGGTTGATTTTTTTGTTCATCTTTTAACTTTGTTTCCAGCTCGGTGACATTCAGCCAGTGCCCAGCTTGGAGCGATGCGTCTCCGCTGCTCTCTTGCAGTGTAGTTTTCAGATTCATTGGAAGATGTGTTAAATGTTCATCTGTCCCAGTATTTCAGACATTTTATGTTTGTTTTTTTTTAATTTACTGTTGACTGAACTGATGGACCCAAGTAGCCAAATGGTATCATTTTCTATAGTGGCTGGTGATATTTCAGAGGTGTCGGGTTGATACAGTACCCACGGAAACACAAATCCCAAAGTAGAAGAGACACCAACACCTCCATATGAAGTAGCTTAACTCCTTAAATTCATTTTCTATTGAAAGGGCCTCCTTACAGTCATAGTTAAGTGTTTAGGAGATGTGTTTTGCTTTCAGACTTGAAGATATCCTCTCTTGTGGAAACATCCTGTACTTTGGGCCCCTTGGACAGAGGAAAGTGTCAGGACTGCCGGCTGGTGGAAGAGTACAAAATACAGGTAGATTATTTCTGCTCTCCCAGGACACACCCCGTGTTGTACAGTACAGGGTTCTGTCACAGCTTCAACACACCAGTCACCTCACTCATGTCCTCTGCCGGCTGGCTCTGACACCGCAGCAGGGTTTGATAGGTTAGATTCAAACACATCAGAGCACTGATCCCAGCGAGCACTGGAACTTGTACAACTCCCAGCACAGCGGAAAACACCCAGCACCCAGCCTGGAGCACTGTGTCACCACTGCTGCCTGCTTGCAGTGTCATTTTTCAGGTTCATTGGAAGAAAGTTACAGGTTTGTCTTTGCTAATATAACAAATTGTATTTAAAATATTTATTTTACTTATTGTTTGAATTTACCATTGACCGAGGTACAGTAGTATATTAAACTGTTACTGGAAATGGTCAAAGTATTTTTTTTTCTGTCAGAATCAACACCTTTCACAAACACTGTAAATAAAGCCATAGGTACTATAATGTAGGAAACAGTACTATGTTAAAACATAAGAAAAGAAAACTTTGGAAGAATCACCATTACTGTGAATTAAACTGGATTAGAGGGTCACTTTCAGCATTGTTTGTTGTAGCAGAGTTGGTCTCTTTGCTGTGCCTGCAGGAGGTGACACAAAGGTGTGGATTTGTGTGGTCTAGGTTACTGTGCAGTTGGAAAGCAGGAGGAGGAATAGTTATTTAGTTAAAATGCACACATTGAAATGTAATCTTTAAATGTATGAAATTAACATCTGCAGTGGCAGGAACACAATGTATGCACTGTATTCATACACAGTCTTTTGGAAGATGTTTAAAATTGTTCAGTATTGGTTGTTTGTTATCTTCATTTTACTTGGTTCCCAGCACAGTGAAATTCAGTAAGAGTGCTGTGCTAGATATACATATCTTAAACACACCCTTCTAAGTCACTGATTATGTATTTTTAGCAATATCGAAATTTGTTTTTTTATGTTTGGTGTCACTGGAAGTTATTTTCTTATAGTACTTATTTTAATATAAAATGTGTTTTTATATATGGATGAAATTATCTCTGTTACAGGCCCACATAGGCTGAAAGTACACTATGCTCTTTCTTTCATACCTCAGTCTAATTTGCTCCTACAATACTGTGATTGTATTTTTCAGGGTTGGACTTTGGAGAATTCTGTGGCCAGCCTCAGGAATTGACACTGATTTCAGCTGGCTGGTGTTTGTGTTGAGATCATCCTTTTCACTTTTACTACTGTTTGTCATACAATAAAACAATATTCATCCTCCTAGTTACTTGTTTTCTTGTAATTTGTTTTGATTCTTTAACAAACCTTCAGTCTGTGACCTGGGCTCGCTTCCTTCATGGCCCTGTCAGGGCCTGTGTGCAGCAAGACATCTAGAGCAGTGACTCCAAAGTCTCTCAACACACTAGGATCCAGAATATCTTTCTTTCATTCATGTTTTATTCTTTATGGCTGAGAAAACCATAGCCTATGTATGTGATATTACTGAATTTGAGCAATAGCACAGAACGACCTAAAGAAAGTTCTGGGGGCTACAAATTATAGGACATGCCCTTATGCAATTACATACATACAGTAACACAAGTGCCTTGTGGCAAAACACGCAAAAGAATTGTTACTTGTTGCAATTCCTTAAACATTGAAGCAAAACTATCGACAGTATGCACCATTGAAAACTACACTAAACACTGTGCACTGTGCAAGACAAAAGCAGCTTTATGTGATTTGCTGGATTAAGGGAAGGTATAAACATGGCTGTAATCGGATACATAACTATAAATCTAATGGGAAAAAATAATTTTAAAATTACTTAACGCTAAATCTGACTATTAAAACTCCGTCTTATTGCCGACAAGTACTGCAACATGAATGTTTATTTTAACAATAGTTTATGAGTAAATGAAAAAACGGTTTTATTTTCCCCGAGGCTGTCCACATTTTGGTGAACGAAGTGCGTTTTTCACAAGTTGCTGTGGCGCGTCTGGTAGGGCGTCGGTCTGGGGATGCCGAGTTACTAGATTCGAAGCTTGTCTCCACAATTTAGGGAGAGTTTTTATCCAATTCCGAAACAAAAATCCCAACACATTTTTAAAAATATTAGAGGAAAAAAATTGAAGAAGAATACTTCATTTTCCTCCTCCAACTATGCAAAATCAAATGAATTGATATCAATGACCTC